CTTGGTTATATACTTATGAGTAGAGTTACTGGATCATATGGTAACTCTGTGTTGAACTTTTTGAGGAAACACCAAAACTTTTTTTTTTTTTTTTTGTCCTTGCCTAGGACTCAAGCAGTAGCTGGGGCAGGATGAGAAATGTTGACGTCCTGCCCCTCCCAGGAAGAAAGCCCTCCGAGTGGGAGCTGGGGAAGAGGGAGCCTTGTGTTCTTGGCTGCACCAGTCTGGACTGGAGATTCCATCTCACTGAGTTAGAAAAGAGAAAGAGGGAGTGATCTGTGTTCAAACGCCACCAACTCTCACTGTTCTTACTGGATTTTAGTAGATTTTCTTGAATAGATGCTTCATTTGCTACATACTCTAACGACCAGTTCCAGAGACTTTAAATGACAGGGTTTTTCATTTTCGCCAGTTTTGCTGGAGAAGGAGCTGACGAAGCCCCTCACAGTCACGCACAAGTCCTCCCCTGTGACTTAGCACCATAACATCCACCACCGGCCAGTGTGCTGGTTCAGAGGGCGTGCTCTGAAGTCACACTGAGGGACATGCTGTGTAAACTCGGGCAATTTGCTCAGACTCTCTGTGCCTCAGTTCTCCCATCTCTTCAGATGGGGGCAATGATCACTTCTCCCTCAGAGTGCTGACTGTGCTTAAAACAGGGCCTGACACACAGTAAGCACAGGCTCATAAAACGAGCATTCAATAAATGTTAGTTATCGCTGTATTTTAAACAATGGATACTTGGTTAGCACTGGCCAATCATGGGAATATGGACGCTTTATGAGTTATTTCAAGTGTTACAAAATTCTAGGGTATTACAAGGAACCCTGATGGCACAGTGGTTAAGCTCTCAGCGGCAACCCAAAAGGATGGCGGTTTGATCTCACCTGACAGCTCCTCAGGGGAAAGAGCTGGTGATCTGCTTCCATACAGATGACAGCCAAGAAAACCCTATGGGGCAGTTCTCCTCTGTCACATGGGGTTGATAGGAGTCAAAAATCAACTCACTGGC